GCTCGGGCTCATCAAATGACGAGCATTTAATGAGCCCGAGCCGTCCAGGAGTCGACTTTTCAAGAGCTGACAAGCCGCTCTGTCCGTTTATTACCACTATGTACAGTCCCCTCACATAGAGGGCGCCCATGAATTTTTTATTCATGGTGGGCCCCCTCACATGTGAGGGGAGGGGACTGCACACCATGCTGTATGCCATGGCGTACAACCATCATTTCCCTAAGTTTTACCGAAGTCGGTGGCCACCTAGGATTTTCATCCGCCACTTGGACATTTTTGCCGGTTGGATGAATAGAAATTGAATGGGTGATGGATTAGTAATTTTTTTAAAAAGTGGTGAGTAATCAGTAACCATTTAATTTTGGATGAGCAAATAGTGAACAAAGACAAATGTTGATGATGAGTGATTTAATTAACTATAATTGGAGCGCTCCTCGCTGCTCTTCTGAAAATGTGGGAGGGTAGTAAAGTACAAGCAGCGAAGCATGTTTTCTGCAGTGATATAACTGAAATAAATTTTAAAGTTCAGCAATTTTAAATTTGATCAATGTTATAAATGCTCAAACAGGCTGTTAAGTTGTCAATGAGAATAATTAACCCTTATAAAAAAAATATTTATATTATTTTATGGCATTAATATTAAATAGCTATTTAAATAATTTTTTCATTTGATTCAGATATTTACCGGCACGAGATTTTTTTTTTTAGTAAATGATTTTAGAAATTGAAAATTTTAAACACGTGAAGCAAAGTCACTTGTTCTACCATCTTAGACTGGTTTGACAACACTTTTTGAGATTATAAGATTGTGAATCATATTAAATATGTGGTTAAAAAGTTGTAGATCTGATAAAATGTGTGATTAAAAGTTGATAATGTTTAATTGACTTATAATCTCAAAAAAAAAAAAAAGTCAAAGGGGGCTTAGTAATGCAATATCACAATTTGAGGACTTAGAAATTCAATGGACAATATGTTCCAAACTTTGGAATTAATATCAAAATTATCCTTCAAACTCTAAAAGCTTCTTGTTATTGACATTTACCCTACTTTTCTATGGAAAATTTAGCCGCTCCATTTTTCAGAAAATATATTTTTTATTTTCAATCATATATTCTCTCGTAAATAAGGAAAAATTATTGGTTTGCGTGTAATATTATTTTATTGAAAAATATGTGATTGAAAATTGTTTTTTAAAAAAAAAAAGAAAAATGTAATTTGAAAATAATGAAGACCAATCATATGTCTAATTTCCACATAACGAAAACCACATGCACTGGTCCAAAAATTACAATTAGGTCCCAACCTCTTAAAAATAGAGTAATTAGGTATACAATTTTCAAATTGTGACAGCTAGACCCCTGGCCTTTTGATTTTGTAGTACTTCCATCTATTTGAATGTTAAAATGTCATTTTCTTGAAGATAATTTAAAAAGAAAAAAAAAAAGGGAAATGGGAAAGGACTCGAGATCATTCAAAAGCTCTTCGATTTAAGCACGCGCAAGATTCTTCACTAACAGGAGAAAGATCTGTTAAACAATTCAAAGAAATAAAGAAAAGGAAAAATGAGG